AGAGCAGTAAGGGTGTGGGAGAGAGAGCAGTAGGGGTGTGGAGAGAGCAGTATGGGTGTAGGAGACAGCAGTAGGGGTGTGAGAGACAGCAGTAAGGGTGTGGGAGAGACAGCAGTATGGGTGTGGGGGAGAGAACAGTAGGGGCATGAGAGAGAGAGCAGTAGGGGTGTGGGAGAGAGCAGTAGGGGTGTGGGAGAGCAGTAGGGGTGTGGGAGAGAGAGCAGTAGGGGTGTGGGAGAGAGCAGTAGGAGTGCGGGAAAGATAGCAGTAGGGGAGTGGGTGAGAGCAGTAGGGGTGTGGGAGAGAGAGCAGTAGGGGTGTGGGAGAGAGAGCAGTAGGGGTGTGGGAGAGAGCAGTAGGAGTGTGGGAAAGATAACAGTAGGGGTGTAGGAGAGACAGCAGTAGGGGTGAGGGCGAGAGCAGTAGGGGTGTGGGAGAGAGAGCAATAGGGGTGTGGGAGAGAGAGCAGTAGGGGTGTGGGAGAGAGAGCAGTAGGAGTGTGGGAAAGATAGCAGTAGGGGTGTAGGAGAGACAGCAGTAGGGGTGTGTGAGAGAGAGCAGTAGGGGTGTGGGAGAGAGCAGTAAGGGTGTGGGAGAGAGAGCAGTAGGGGTGTGGGAGAGAGCAGTATGGGTGTAGGAGACAGCAGTAGGGGTGTGAGAGACAGCAGTAAGGGTGTGGGAGAGACAGCAGTATGGGTGTTGGGGAGAGAACAGTAGGGGCATGAGAGAGAGAGCAGTAGGGGTGTGGGAGAGAGCAGTATAGGTGAGGGAGAGAGAGCAGTAGGGTTGTAGGAAAGCAGTAGGGGTGTGGGAGAGAGAGCAGTAGGGGTGTGGGAGAGCAGTAGGGGTGTGGGAGACAGCAGTAGGGGTGTGGGAGACAGCAGTAGGGGTGTGGGAGACAGCAGTAGGGGTGTGGGAGACAGCTGTAGGGGTGTGGGAGACAGCAGTAGGGGTGTCGGAGACAGCAGTAGGGGTGTGGGAGACAGCAGTAGGGGGTGGGAGACAGCAGTAGGGGTGTGGGAGACAGCAGTAGGGGTGTGGGAGACAGCAGTAGGGGTGTGGGAGACAGCAGTAGGGGTGTGGGAGAGACAGCAGTAGGGGTGGGAGAGAAAGCAGTAGGGGTGGGAGAGAAAGCAGTATGGGTGTGGAGGAGAGAACAGTAGGGCTGTGGAAGAGAGAACAGTAGGGCTGTGGAAGAGAGAACAGTAGGGGCTGTGGAAGAGAGAACAGTAGGGGTGTGGAAGAGAGCAGTAGGGGTGTGGGGGAGAGAGCAGTAGGGGTGTGGGAGAAAGGACAGCAGTAAGGGTGTGGGAGAGAAGGATGTGGGAGACAGCAGGGTGTGGGAGACAGCAGTAAGAGTGTGGGAGACAAAGTGTATCGGAGACAGAAGGGTATGGGAGACAGCAGTAAGGGTGTGAGAGACAGCAGTAAGGGTGTGAGAGACAGCAGTAAGGGTGTGGGAGACAGCAGTAAGGGTGTGGGAGACAGCAGTTAGGGTGTGGGCGACAACAGTAAGGGTGTGGGAGACATCAGTAAGGGTGTGGGAGACAGTAGTAGGAGTGTGGGAGACAGCAGTAGGAGTGTGGGAGACAGCAGTAGGAGTGTGGGAGACAGCAGCAGGGGTGTAGAAATTAACAGCAGGGATGCTGGAATAAGCATCAAGGGTAGGAATGAATTGTAGGAGTATGGTAAAGTTGTACGAGCATGGCAATGAGCTGTTTGAGCATGAGAATGAGTTGTAGGGGAATGAGAATGAGTTGAAGCATGGAAATGAGCAGAAGCATGGTAATGAGCAGTAGGAGCATGGTAATGAGCAGTAGGAGCATGGGAATGAGAAGTAGGAGCATGGGAATGAGCAGTAGGAGCATGGGAATGAGCAGTAGGAGCATGGGAATGAGCAGTAGGAGCATGGGAATGAGCAGTAGAAGCATGGGAATGAGCAGTAGAAGCATGGGAATGAGCAGTAGAAGCATGGGAATGAGCAGAAGCATGGAATGAGCAGAAGCATGGGAATGAGCAGTAGGAGCATGGGAATGAGCAGTAGGAGCATGGGAATGAGCAGAAACATGGGAATGAGCAGTAGGTGCAAGGGAATGAGCAGCAGCAGCAGCATGGGAATGAGCAGCAGGAGCATAGAAATGAGCATGGGAATGAGCAGTAAGAGCATGGGAATGACCATGAGTATAGCAATGAGTAGGAGCACCATAGTAATGAGCAGTGAGCATGGTAATGAGCTGGAGAATAGTAATGAGTAGGAGCATGGAAATGAACAGTAGGAGTATAAAAATGAGTAGGAACGTGGGAATCAGCATGAAAGTTCTCTGTATATTCTCAAGGTCTGCAATTTCACCTGCCTTGAAAGGGGCTGTTAGTGTACAGCAATATTCCAGCCTGAAGAGAACAAGCAATTTGAAGAGAATTATCACAGGCTTGGTATTTCTAGCTTTGAAGATTCTCATCATTCATCATATCATTTTCCTAGCAGATGAAGTAGATACATTAGTGTGATCTTTTAAAGTGCGATTCGCAGACATTATCGCTCCCAGGACCTTCACACTGGTTTTTCACTCTATTGTGTGGTTGGAGCTTGCTTTACACTCCGATACAGTTTTAATTTCCTAAGGTTTCCCATAGCGGAGTAACTGAAATTTGCCTTCATTGAACTTCATATTGTTTTCTGAGGCCCATTTGAAGATTTGGTTGATGTCCACTTGGAGATTTGCAGTCTCTTCAATGGATGACTCATGTAAATTCGGGTGTCATTCACAAAGGAGGACACAGTGCTGTGGTTTACATTTCTGTCTATGTCAGATATGAGGATGAACAGGATGGGAGTGAGTACTGTACATTGTGGAACAGAGCATTTCACTGTAGCCAAATCTGACTATACTTTGCTTACTATTACTTTCTGTATTCTATTTGTTAGGAAGTTATTGATTCATCAACCAACTTTTCCTGTTATTCCTCTATTGTGTATTTTGTGTGCTATTACACCATGATCACAATTGCCGAAGGCTTTCGCAGTCTTTGTATACATCTGCATTTTGTTTGTTCTCCAGAGCATCCAAGACCATGTCATAGTGATCCAGTAGTTGGGCTGGAAAGGAGCCACCTGCTCTAAACCCATGTTGCCCTGGGTGGTGCAACTGATGGGTATCTAATTGGGTAGCAGTCTTGCTTATTAGAACCCTTTTAAAGACTTTTATGATCTGGGACATTGGTGTCATCGGTTTGTAATTCTTTGCAGTTGCTTTACTGCCACCTTTGTGGAGTGGGGCTAAGTCTGTTGTTTTTAGTGATTGTGGGATGACCTATGTCTATGTTCCCTCTCCATAGAATACTTAAGGGACATTGAAGTGGTTTCTTGCAGTTCTTGATGAACACAAAGTTCCACGTCTGGGCCTGGGGCAGAGTGCATGGGCATGTCATTTATTGTTTTTTCAAAGTCCTGTGGTGTTAGGATAATATCAGAATTTTTTTAATTAACAAAATTTTGAGTCTTGGTCATAAAAAAAATCATTAGATTGTCGACCTTTAGTCTGATTAATGGCTCGCTAAACACTGAGTCATATTGGGACTTTGGTATCTCATTTCTTTGTTATCATCTTTGTAAATCCAATCTCGTTTAAGCAGGGGTCCAATACTGGGGTGTCAAATGTACAGCAAGTTACACTGGCTAACTGGTTTGATTACTTTATGCTTGGTTAATTTGGCTAAGTTATAAGAACATGAGATACATGCACTAATGTACAAGAGCATGTTCCTCGGCAAATTTTGGCCATTAATTACAATTTGAATTTTATATTATCAAATAAAAAAATTAAGCAAACAAAACCTACCTAACCCAACTTGAAATAACCAAAAGTACCTTAAATCTTACTCCACTGGTTGAAATTTTTCTTTGTTTACATGTGACCAGTCATGCAACATGACTCAACCTGGAGTTTACCTGGAAAGGGCTTTGGGGGTCAACGCCCCCGTGGCCCAGTCTGAGACCAGGCCTCAAGACTGAAGGTTTCCCATAGCTTGATTGCTAGCACACTCAGCTCACACACGGAAGTCTGTGGTTCGATCCCTGGTATGGTTGAAAACAGAACATGTTTCCTTAAGGCACCTGCTGGTCCTGCTCACCTATCAGTAAAATAGGTACCTGGGTGTTAGTCGACCAGTGTGGGTTGCACCCTGGGGACAAAACTGACCTAACATGCCTGAAATGCTCTGCATAACAAGGGGCTTTCTATATAGTAGTATGTCATTGATGTCAGTTAGGCCTGTATATAACTTGTACATGTACTTGTAGAAATATTCATTATTATTATTATTATTATAAGCATTGTTTGGCACACATATGCTGCACAACCAAAATAATATATCGCAAAACAATTTCTATAAGAAATACATATTTTTTAGTATACATACTGTATACATTGTTATGTCAAGTAATGCCAGAGTTCCATTTAATAATAATTAGAGCCCCATTTCTTCCCTACAACCAAAATAGCATTGTCTGACTTGTTTTGGGTTATCCTGAGTAATTTACACTATGTATGACATCTGCTGTGTGTACTTGTGCCTAAATCAAAGAAGAGGCCTACTGCTCCTCAGTTCTTACGTTCTTAAAACGTTCCACAGGACATTTAGGCTTACATATTCTATCCAAACTATAATCGAGTATTGTCTTGTACAAGTGGCCTGAAAAAGAAGTCAGTGTGTGTCATACTTTCATAAATATATTACAGGTTGTGGGGTGAGGCCGGGCGAGGTGACATCCGCCTCAAGTTATGTAATAATTTCCTCCCTCAGACAGCATCAAGGTTATAACCTGGTTAACCCACACTAATAATGCTTATAACACCCCCAACACGGCACTGATAGCCATGCTAACTCGTCCCGGGATGCAACCTGGAAGTGGGCGGAAGGTTGAGCTGACATAAAAGCTAAACCAGCAGAGCAAAACCCTCTATCTGGCCCCAGATATTAGACAAAGAGGCAGGACCCACCTCATCTTCAGGCTCCTGCAGGGCTCCCCGGGTGTTCCTGCGGGACTCACGGGTGGGTAGTGTGCTTCTCCTACCAGTCTCCGATAACGGATTCCCTCTGGTGGATACCATTTTATATCACAAAGAAGTCCATCACTACCTCCAGCCTCCACAACATACTCACCACTGCTTAACACTCACACTTATAAAGTAGTTCCACTAGCACAACACTGCAATAATTAACTATAAAAACGATTATACTCTCCTGTTTCCATCACAGGTTTTTACCTTCGTGTTAAATGTGTGGATATTAGAGGTATATATGCCAGGGAGAAGGTGTTATGGGGTGTAATAACATCTTCCCGGCGGTGGAATACTTCCCTGGTGATGCGCGCCAAAGCTTAAAATATAAATTTCGCGCCTATCTTCCCCCAGGACAATAATCCAAAAAGAACTTCTAAGTGAAGGTTATTAACTCTTGAGAGAGGGAGAGTAAGATCAGTCAGTCCACCTGCCATCACTCTCTCAAGGGCTCCAACAACCCTAGTGGAAATAAGTCACTTTGTCTGACTTTTCTGGAGTTATCCTAGGCTATGTACACATATTCTACCCTATATGATAATTTGTATAATTGTATTTAAGTGTACCTGTACCTAAATATACTTATACATTCAACAAAATCATCAGACTTTTATATGTCACTTCTGCCCGGCTTGACCTGCCTATAAGTAACTTTGAGAGTAAATTTATTTAGGTACAGGTATACATAAGTACAAGTATCATATTTAGTAACATATGTGTAAATTACCCAGGATAACTCAAAAGAGTCAGACAGTGACATGAATCTTAAGATGTCCCATAGCCTGGTAGGCAACACTCTCGCTTCACACGCTGTGTCCGTGGTTCGATCTCAAGCAAGGGTGAAAACATTGGGTGTTTCCTTAGTAAATAAATTTATTCAGGTATACACAAATACAGTTACACCTGTTGTCCCGTTCACATAGCAAGTAAGTAGGTACCTGGGTATCAGTCGACTGGTGTGGGGTGCATCCTGGGGGGACAAGATTTAAAGAACCCAGTGTAAATAAGACAGACAGTCACTCGACGACCCACTGACTTTCTTGGGTTATCCTGGGTAGTTAACCCTCCAGGGTTAAAAATCCGAGCAAAATCTAACCTTAACCCATAGGGCTTTGAACGCATAGCATGTGAGTCCCATGAGTTAGAGAAAATATTATGTATTAGAACTCAAAACAGTAATCATGAATTCAGAGAAAACTCATAAATGTTCAAGAAATGTCAAACTGTCTGCACTATCAGTAAGACATAAATAACATTATCTAGCTAGCTTCACACCTTCCACATCTACATGTCATATTTTCGTAATTGTGGAAATCATTAAGTATATTAGGTGAGGTTTCTATGTTAGTTTTGGTCCAAAAGTAAAAGTCTTTATATCATTGTTAAAAAAAAAAAAAAAAAGCTATCAGTCTGTAAAGAGAATTTCTGGAAAATGTTAATTTTTAAGGGAGCTCGCGGGGTCGAAATATTCAGATCAATTAATTAATCTCCAGAGTTTCTGTCTTTATGTGGGTTGGAAACATAAACACATATGCAGTTTAATGTGATCCTTTATTGACAACGTTTCGCCCACACAGTAGGCTTTTTCAAGTCACAAACAGATCTGTGACTTGAAAAAGCCCACTGTGTGGGCGAAACGTTGTCAATAAAGGATCACATTAAACTGCATATGTGTTTGTTTCCATTGTGTCGGTATTTTATACCATTTATTCTCATCTTTATGTGGGTTATTGAGCATAAGTATATTTACATCTTCCCTTATTTCTAGTATATCTCCTTTATAGAATAATAAGATACTATCTCCTTTATGGAATAATAATAAGATATCTCCTTTATAGAATAATAATAAGATATTATCTCCTTTATAATAATAAGGTAAAAGGGCCCCATGGAAATAAGTCACTGTCTGACTTTTTTGGGTTATCCCAGGTTGTCTACACATATGCTGCTATGTATGATAATCTATGTAACTGTATTTGTGTATACCTGAATAAACTTACACAAGATTGGGATATTACAGTCATCATACATAGTAACAAATGTGTAAATTACCTAGGATAACCCCAAAAAAGTTATTTATATCCTTTGGTGACCTTCTTGATTCACGTCCCAAAACATATGTACTATTTTTGCTAATGTCTCCCACATTAGCAATCTGCACGGGAACAAACAATCTGTGACTGGTATACCTGGAGGGTGTTCCGGGGTCAACGCCCCCGGGGTCCGGTCCATGACCAGGCCTCATAGTGGATCAGTCTGATCAACCAGGATGTTACTGCTGGTCGCAAGTAGTTCAACGTAGGAACTACAGCCCCACTGGTGAGCATATCAGGGAACGGGTGGGGCTTTGAATCCATGGCAGGTGAGTTCTAAAACTCATAGGCCAGTGTGTTAAACCTGCACTTGTGGTCACAGTGGTGGCCCTTGCTAACCTCCCTATGGTAGGTTAGTTGGATGAATATTACAAGAGCCAGCTGGCCCACTGGTTAACGCACTGGCCTGTGAGTTTTAGGATTCACTTGCCATGAGTTCAAGCCTCACCCGTTCCCTGATGTATTTATTGTTTCAGGACTGGTGGAAACATTCGTGGCGAAACATTTCCTTGAATAAATGTCCTAAACTGTACACAAGTGCCTTTTTCCACTTTCTCTATAACACCATGCCATTTTCGTTCACAGATTTATCTCGCAGATCCTCTCAAATGTCTCTTCCAGCTTTCTTATCCTCCTCCACAGCATCAGACAAGTTAATAAAACAAATAATTCCGGACAACCTTGGTGACTCAGCAGGGATACAGGATCCTAGCTACACCAGTGCCATTACCGAATGGGAGACTCCCGGCTAGCTTAAATGATATTTCTCAAGCAATATAGAAAATATGTTGGGTGTCACGTAGCTCGATCGCTAGAGCACTTAGCTCACACACTGAGGTCCGGGGTTCAATTCCCAGGTACGGCAGGAAACATTAAGACGTATTTCCTTAAGGCACCTGTTGTCCATGTTCACCCATCAGTAAAATAGGTACCTGGGTGTTAGTGGACTGGTGTGGGTGGCATCCTGGGACAAAACTGACCTAATTTGCCCGAAATGCTCAGCATAACAAGCGGCTTTCTATATAGTAGCATGTCATTGATGTCAGCTATGGTCTGTATACCTTGTACATGTACTTGTAGAAATAAAATTATTATTATTATTATTATTATTATTATTATTATTATTATTATTATTATTATTATTATTATTATTATTATTATAAGTTCAGACTCGCAGTTATGAAGACAATGGAAGAGATGCCTTCATTCACAGTTCATTATACCATAATATAATAATAATAATAATAATAATAATAATAATAATAATAATAATAATAATAATAATAATAATAATATATTTACTACAGGTACATGTACAAGGTATACAAGTCTAGCTGACATCAATGACATACTACTATATAGAAAGTCCCTTGTTATGCAGAGCATTTCGGGCAAATTAGGTCAATTTTATCCCAGGATGCGACCCACACCAGTCGACTAACACCCTGGTACCTATTTTACTGACGGGACACCATATAGTGTATGTTTTGTGTGCATATATGAAAGGAAAGCCACACCCATGCATAACTCTTGAGACCAAAGACTGGTACATATAATCTACTCTCAAACAAGCTCAAAGGAAATATTCATTACTTTTTACGCGTGCCGTAGCTCGATCGCTAGCGCACTCGGCTCTCACACTGAGGTCCAGAAATCGAATCTCCAGTACAGCTGAAAAACATTAGGACGTTTTTCCTTTAGATACCTGTTGTCTATGTTCACCCATCAGTATAAAATGGGTACCTGGGTGTTAGTCGACTGGTGTGGGTCGCATCCTGGGACAAAACTGACTTAATTTGCCCGAAATGCTCAGCATAACAAGCGGCTTTCTATATAGTAGTATGTCATTGATGTCAGCTATGGTCTGTATACCTTGTACATGTACTTGTAGAAATAAAGTTATTATTATTATTATTATTATTATTATTATTATTATTATTATTATTATTATTATTATTATTATTATTATTATTATTATTATTCTAAGCAGACACAAACGAATCGTTGTGACATAAGAAACGAACTAATCCGAAAATATACGGTTTCTCTTGACTTTATACATCGTTATCTGAAATGTGATGTGTTCATGTTTTTTCACTTTTTTTTTTTTTTGCGGAGTAAGACGTATGATGGAACTTCATAAGAACATAAGAAAGAAGGAACACTGCCGCAGGCCTGACCCATACGAAGCAGGTTCTTGTCCCCCCTCCCGGATTAGGCCAATGACCCACCTAGCCATTATAAAGCCTGGCTTTCAATAAGGATACCCAGGTGCTACCCATAGTGTGTAAATATTAAACAAAAAAACTTTATTTCTTTATGTAGTATACGAAGTGTAGTTTACGTATAATAAAATATTGTTAAGCATGAATATATCCCTCATGATGTGTATATACTGAGAGCGACGGTGCAGGTACAGGTGGTGAGGATATATGTCTTAGTTTACGTACACTGAAAGTTTTCTTTAAGAATAAGAAGTTTGTATCATGCTGATACATGCTTGTATCATGTTGATACATGTTTGTATCATGCTGATACATGTTTGTATCATGATACATGTTTGTATCACGGATTAAAACATTTTCGGTTGGTAGTGAACAGGTAACATACAAGTTTTAATGACCCTCGTGTATCGGTAAGCTTTAAGCCCAATTAACCAACCCCTGTGACTTATTCATTTACAGATTTAATAAGAAATAATTGTTTACCAGTTGTGTGAATCGACTTTTATTGGTTAATTGGATTGTGGGTTTAAAGTCTGTCGACTATACTAGAGTCATTAAGGCTTCATGGTAACATTTTGACCACCAGATCAACCAGGCTGTACTCACCTAATTGTGGTTGCAGGAGTCGAGTCATAGCTCTTGGCCCCGCCTCTTCACTGGTAGCTACTACGTCACTCTTCCTGCTCCAAGAGCTTTATCATACCTCTTAAATCTATGTATGGATCCTGCCTCCGCTACATCACTTGATGGACATGTGGGGCAGCAGGCCTCCAGCAGCAACACCCCGGTTAACCAGCAAGCACCAGACGAACCTGGCCCATGACCGGGCTCTGAGAGTAGTGAGACTCTCGAAACTCATCAAAGGTATATCAAAGGCATATCAGTATATATCCTGTGATATTTA